ATGGTTGGTAACACTTAAATATTTGACCAAGGGAGGGTTTCAAATTAACCGTTGCCATGCTTAGTGGTTGGTAAGTTCAATCTCTTTGGTGAGATTTCGAGTGTCACCTAATTTATTAAAATTACTGAAATTATTCTAATGGTTGTAATTTCTGTGTATAATTATATTGTTGTCTCATGTTTAGAATATTATTATTTTTCTCTTAAAAAGAATGGTAGGTTGGTTACGTTTTCTTACTGTGTTGCAAAACTCATGGCATATATTTTTGTTGCCCTGGCGTTTTATGCCAGGTTTTAGCGAGGAAATAATTGAAGCTGAAATGGAGTTGACGCTAACGTAGAGCCTTGGCTGAGTTGAAATCATAGCAAAAGTCGAATAACTTTATTATCCTATATATTAGCTATTAAGGACCTTATAATTTCATTGATGTTGTGTTTGGATAATGTTAAGTTTTTATTTAATATTATTTGAAGCTTTGGTTATGTACGAGAGTTGGAATACCCTATTAAGATGTCAACTTTTTAGTTTATTAAGTCATTTTGTTTATTTAATTTCCCTTGATGTTAAAAAAAAAAAAATTTGGGGCATCACAACATGGTATCAGAGCTCTAGGTCGGAATACCTAAGGACAGTGGGTAGAGGTTTAACCTCAATTGAGGAGTAGTATCATGTGTTAGAAGGAATAGAATTATGTAACTCATAGTTTATGAGAGGTTTATGCTAATCATAGTAACTATCCTTGTTTGATCCTAACTAGTTTGACGCCAAATTTGTCGGATGTAAAATCATCACTTCTCTATCTTCATTGAACCTTTCCAATTCGACAAATTATTGCCTTAAGATGATCAATTGGCAATTTTTGAGCGATGTTTATTGTATCTTGTATGTTGTTCTCTTGAAAACCGGTTGCACTCTTTTAATCCTTATAGGGTGAAGAATCTTAGGTGTTTGGTTTGAAATGTGTATGGCCAAACACAATTTCAATTCAAATATCTAGTTTGGTCACCAGCTCCATAATCTTAACCGTGTTAAAAGTTCAAAACCATCATGTCATTCGACTGTACTATCTGTTCAAATTCCATTTGAATTCCTATGCTAGTTATGCTATTGTCGTAGCCATGTCATACTCTTTCTTCTCTACTATAACTGTGTGAATCTTGGGATTAGAGCTTGAACGATTAGAAACACCTATGAGTGTAGCTTCACTGCTAAAAGGTCAAACTCGAGTAGATCTCTTATGCAAATCATGTGAACTAGGAGTCTCCAGTTTGCGTTTAACTTGTCTGTGACTCTAGATTATCTGAGACTATTGGTTCAAATTTTCTTTACTGAAAAAAAAAATAAAAAGATAAAAAATAAAAATCAAGGCAATGAATTAGGGACATAGTTGAGTCAGTGATTCTATCTTCTCTCCCGCTCGAGTCACCTAGTCAGTGTATTCATACCGGTCAGGGTATTCATACCAGTCAGTGTATATAAATGCGTTTGGATTGTTTTGTTTCGTTTTCTTTCGTTAAGTTATTTTGTGATTCAGGTCAGTATGGAATCAATATCCAATTCAGAGTTCAAATTCAATCATTCTCAAATTCAAATCAAACAAAATTATTTTCAAACTCAGAGGGATGTGCTAGTCACGCCATTGATGTACAGAACCTAAACTGATTTTATTGCAGTCTGGGGAGGACATCCCCGATTACAGAGACTCAAAAATAAAATAAAATAAAATAAAAAAAGACTCCAAAAAAAAGAATCTACTATTATATTATATATATAAAAAAAGAGGGATCTCCATGTTTCTTCTTTCTCTCCGGGCAACGGCCATACACCGAACCGCTGATTTGCTTGACTCTCTCCGTCTGTTTCTTCATACTCACATCGTTCACTCTGTGGAGACTTGGAGGCCCTGCCTCATAGCCACATCCACGCAGCTCATCTGCTTAGTAGTTCTTCTCAGCCAAGACGAGTACTCTCTCGCTGATCCATCAAGGCAAAATACGACTGCCGTCCGAAACCGGCGCGATTAAATACGTGGCCTGTCATTTACCTCTTAGCTCGTCAGGAGAGTTAGCCTTCCGTTCTCATTCTTGCTTTTGTTTCACTGACCTGCCAATTCAGACGCGCAAAATCGTACGCCTCGCGCATCTATACATATAGCTGAAAGCTAAAGTGCAGTTGGGCGTGTTAACCCGCATGTACGCTGCACGTCTTGTTTCTGCAGACAGTGAGACAGGTAGTGACCGCGCCGCGACGTTTCGCATACCACGACCTTCAATCGTGTAGTGTTGGTATATCGTTTGAGCAGCCATCACTTGCTCAACTGTTAGTGTAGGAAGACTAGGATGAGTAAGAGCAGGGGCACTTGGCCCAGAGGAGCTCGATGGATCATTAAGATCCGGAAAGAGAGAGAGGGGGTGAGACGAAGCCATGTTTGGAAAGAGAGAGGAAAGAAGGGAGTCGCAGAGAAATGGTAGAAAATAGAAGATGAAGAGAAGAAGGGGATGAAAGATTGATAGAGAAGAGACAGAAGAAGAGAGTCATTAAGAAGAAGAGAAAAGAGTGATGAAGAAGAAGAAGATAGAATGGAAGAAGACAAAGAGGGAGAGAGAGCCGAGACGAGCTTGCAAATCGAGGAGGCTTACTTTTGTTGGCCAACTGACGCAAAAGCAAGGCCGCGTGTCAAACGCGATTTTCGAAGGAAGAGAAAGAGGCGGGAGAGTTGTATGCATATATGTATATGAATTGTATATCTATGTATTATATATATTTGTTTACATATTTGGTTACAAGAGTGGCTTGGGTTCATTGGTTCGGTTGTTGAGAATTGAAAGGCTAAGCCTGAGGTTAGAGGTTCGAGCCCCCATAGCAACGAGTGTTTCTTTTGTTTTGTTTTGATTTTTTTTTTTTTTATATATGTGTCTCGTATACCTATATATATATTTGTTTGAATATTTTGTCACAGGAGTGGCGTGGCTTAGTGGTTGAAAGAGCAAGAGACTAAGCCTGAAGACAGGGGTTTGAAACCTCGTATCCCCACATCCATGCATTTTGAGTGTTTCCTTTCTTTTTTTTGCGTGTTCGGGAGGAAGATATTCTTAAGACTGCGTTTCGAACACGTTACGGCCGCTATGAACTAGTAGTGATGCCATTCGACCTAACCTATGCACCAGGCGTGTTCATGAGCTTAATGAACAACATATTCACGCCTTACATAGATCAATTTATGGTAGTTTTCATAGATAATATTATGGTGTATTCCGAGTCTGAAGGAGACCATGAACAACATTTGAGAATAGTACTTCAAACTTTAAGATAAGGCTAGTAAATGTGAATTCTGGATGGAGGAAGTAAAGCTTTTGGGTCACGTGGTATCTGACAAGAGAATATCAGTAGACCCAACTAAAGTAGAAGCAGTGACAGAATGGAAGCAACCTAAGAACACATTTGAGATTCGTAATTTCTTAGGATTGGCCGGTTACTATCGAAGATTCATTCAAGACTTTTCAAAATTGGCCAAACCAGTGACACGTTTGACTCAAAAGAGGGTAAAGTTTGAATGGAATGAGTTTTGTGAAAATTCATTCCGAGAACTTAAGAAAAGATTGACGAGTGCCCCTATTCTCATAGTGCCAGAACGTGACGTTGGGTACAACGTGTATTGTGATGCTTCCAAAGAAGGTCTGGGGTGCGTATTGATGCAGAATGGCAAGGTGGTGGCATATGGATCAAGGCAATTAAAGAGCCATGCGAAGAATCATCTCATCCATGACTTGGAGTCAGCAGCTATAGTTCACGCACTCAAAATTTGGAGACATCGTGGGACGGAATAGTCAATATGGGAACGAGAAGATATGATACGTGCCAATTACCTTCAGCTTTTCGAGTCTAAAGGTATGAGTTAATTTCGAGGACGAAATTTTTTTTTAGGAGGATAGATTGTGAAAACCCCCACATTTTTTTTATTTTTAAAAGAAGATAAATAAATTAATTAATTAATTTTATTCAGAGTCTATCTAAAATATGTATTAGTGTAAAAGTTAGTTTGTTAATTAATCCAATTCAATCACTAACAAGAAAAAAAAAATAATAAATAAATAAATAATAATAATTTTGTGGCTGTTTAATATTCGTTATTTATAAATTATTTTATTAAGGATTTATTTTAGAATTAGAAATTGAACGTCCAAATAGCCTAAGGAGGTGAAATTGATAAGTTAAATCAGTTTAATTTCAAGTATTCGACCCTATGAAAGTGTAATTAAATATTCGATTCAGTTTAATAAAACTAAGGTTTGATCAATTGGGTCCGAATTGGAGTTAATTGAGTTGTGAGGTTTGATAATTTAGATTATTATGAACTAAATTTATTTATAAGGTACTCAATTGAATATGTAATTTATAGATGAAGATTTTGAGTTTGATCTGAAATTGAAGGCCTTAAAGGTTTGAGAAACCAAAATTGATGAGCTCAACAAGTTTAATTTGATATTTGGAGCCTTTTGGGAGTTTGATTTGAAATCTGATTCAGAATGATAAAATTAAACAAAATTAATTGGGAAGTCAAATTAGACCAATTAAATTAGGTGGGATTTGAGATTAGATATAATTAACTAATTTTGTGTCAATCAAGACTTATTAAGAATATGTATTATTTAATTAAATCAATCTTAATCATAAATTAAACTATGGAAGGAAAAAAAAAATTATTATGGGTGTATATGAAGTGAGGGTGTGCTGAGAAACCCAAGTGTGTGTACAAAGAAATCTGTTTGTGTGTGCACATGTAAGTGATGTGTTGGAAGCTTGACCAAGGTGCACGTGTGCAATATGTGTCAACAAGAAGAGAGGTGCATGTGTGTGTGTATAACTAAGGAGTTAAATGTGTTTGGGCTAGCAATTGATGGGTATGTGCTGTGAGAGAGAGAGAGAGAGAGAGAGAGCCGAGAATGAGAGAGAAGGAGTGAAAAATAAGAGAGTATTGAAGCCTATTCAATTTTCTTTGCTAGAAGGAATTTCATGGGAAGCTAAAAAATTAAAGAAAGGAAGACCTTGAAGGCTAATAGGTAAGAAGACCCTCTCAATCCTCTCATTTTTTTTACATAATTGAAATTTTCAGATTGTATACGTATGATACATTGTCTAAACTGTGTTGATGATAATCTGTTTTGAATCTGCCAGCATGTTACCCGAATTTGTAGATAATTTTATACTTAAAATTTCGAGATGATTTCTTCTACAAAGTTGTTGATGATGATGCCTAGTTTATCCAGAAAATTTTGGTAACAATTTTTGAGCTTTCTACGAATTTATACAAAATTTTAACTAAATCTGAAACTGTGATGAAAATAGTCTATTTTGAATCTACCAGAATGTCACTTGAATTTTTAGAAAATTTTATACTCAAAATTTCGAGATGATTTCTTCTACAAAGTTGTTGATAATGACGTCTGGTTCGTCCAGGAATTTTGGTAACAATTTTTGAGCTTTCTACGAACTTATACAAATTTCTAACTAAATCTGAAAGTGTGATACAGATTTTACCATGTATTTGAAAATTTATTTAAAATTCTATACTAAGCCAAATCTGGTAATTTCTAACTAAAATATGAAATTTGAGAAGTCTAGTTCTATGAAAAAATTTTAGATTATGGGTTTGATCTATAAGTTTAAGCATGGAATTAATGTAAGGAAATGTGACAAATCTGTGTCATAAACACCCTTGGAATTTGTTTAGAATTATTTATAAGTTATTTTTGGAAAATACTTTATGAAAAATAACCATAACATGTTTATTGAGTATCCTGTAGATTGATATGAATTTTAGAGTTGTATAAGTAATGTATTTATAATTTTATTTGCAAGATATATACTCTGAAAATTTTTCTAGACAGGATAAAATCACCACTTTAATATTATGCTAGTCAAATTTTGTAAATCAAAAATTTGTGCATGTGTGTATTTATGGTTTAATTCTTGTATCTAAGTTATTATTTCATACCATGGTTTAAATAAATTGTTTATTTAAATTCTGTACTTTTATTTAGTATTGTGTGACACATGCAATATTTTATGATTGGGAATTTTAATGAGTTGGTATAACATTACTTGTGATTAAAAATTTGGAATTATTTGTGATTAATATCAAAATTAACTGAAATGATTAACGGCATATACAAAGTTAACAATTGACGGTTAATACCAGTTGTTCGGGGTGAGTCTTGGTTTAAAGATTGTACGGAATTAAGGGTTGACGGTTAACACCGGTTGTTCAGGGTGAGCCCTGGTTTTGAGAATTCTCACGTAAATTGTGTTGCGAAACACTAAGATGGCACGGGACTTATTTGAACCCTTTTCGGTATTCGGTTTTGGAATAAGGGTGGATGTGCTGGTGGCACACAGGGAGGTTACTTACCCCTGGCAGACCGTTTCCTTGGGGCAGACCACGGATGCCACTACTTGAGTATATAACTCCGGATGTGGGCATCCCTGGTAGTTACGGTTGGTAACACTTAAATATTTGACCAAGGGAGGGTTACAAATTAACCGTTGCCATGCTTAGCGGTTGGTAAGTTAAATCTCTTTGGTGAGATTTCGAGTGTCACCTAATCTATTAAAATTATTGAAATTATTCTAATGGTTGTAATTTAAGTTAAATCTCTTTGGTAAGATTTTGAGTGTCACCTAATTTATTAAAATTATTGAAATTATTCTAATGGTTGTAATTTATGTTTACAATTATATTGTTATCTCATGTTTAGAACCTCATTATTTTTCTCTTAAAATGAGTGGTCGGTTGGCTATGTTTTCTTACTGTGTTGCAAAACTCATGGCATATATTTTTGTTGCCCTGACGTTTTATGCCAGGTTTTGGCTGAGGAAATAATTGAAGCTGAAATGGAGTTGACGCTAACGTAGAGCCTTGGCTGACTTGAAATCATAGCTGAAGTCGAATAACTTTATTATCCTATATATTAGCTATTAAGTACCTTATAATATCATTGATGTTGTATTTGGATAATGTTAAGTTTTTATTTAATATTATTTGAACCTTTGGTTATGTACGAGAGTTAGAATGCCCTATTAAGATGTCAACTTTTTAATTTATTAAGTCATTTTGTTTATTTAATTTTCCTTGGTGTTAAAAAAAAAAAAAATTAGAGCGTCACAACTACTATTAATTTACGGTCTCAAACATTTTTTTTATTAGAATCATAATTAGATTTCTGAATATTTTATCGTGATAAAAAATTACTATATTAAAAGTAATGAGATCAGCATACAACATGAGAAGTCCCATAAAAAATAATATTTCTCATAACACAATTTTCAATAGTAGATTTACGGTTATTATAATCATAATTGGATTTCTGAGCAACCTTTTCATTCCTTGTTATCATTTACTAGATTTTTGTTCTGAGTATATCCTCTATCTAGACCGTCCAATTAGGTTCATGAGGTTTATCGTCAATTTCATTTGAATAATTGCATTGTACATCTTGTGAACTCTTTATTTAGTAATTATTTACGAAAAAATATTTTATTAATCTGAAAACCATAATTAAACGATTTTGTCTTGTTTATTTTTATTTTTTTAAATGATAATAAATATGAAATATATATAAATACATATGGAAATGTATCGAAATATGTGAATGTATTAAATTTTATTTTATTTTATTTTTTAGCATAATTTGATCCTTAAACAAATGTTTGGTGGACAATCATTAGTAGGATCCTTAAAATTTTAAATTACTTATTTTTTAAAAATAAATATGATAAAATTATGTGATTATAATTATGACATCATTCTAATTTTTATATAAATAGATTAATCATACTTATATAAATGGATTAATTATGCTTTTCATCACCCCTGTAGTTTGACTAAAATTTTACCTTAATTCATATAGTTTCAATTTGAACAATTTGATCCTTAGTTTCAATTTGTTCATTCCATCTAAATTTTGTCTACGTGTACACATTAAAAAATTGACGTGTCTCAAAATTATTAATATTAACATCCAATTTAGACTGAAAACCAATTTGAAATCTTAGAAAATTGATACATCCCAAATTTATTAATTTTAACCTTCAATTTAGAGGAAAAAACTAAAGTGTAGGGACTAAATTGTTTAAATTAAAACAATAGGAATAAAAGTAAAATTTAAGTCAAATTATATGAATGAAAAATGTAATTAACCCTTTATAAATTATTTACAGAAAATCTCACAAAATGGACAACTTAGATTAACCAAGAAAGAAATGTTGCGAGTCCCACGAGCCCAACTGAGCATTTTGATCCACCTGGGTTAAAGAGATAGTTCTTCCCTTTTGTTCCATAGGGTTTTTCTCATTACAAGCTAGTTTCAAACTATGAATCCCTCCAAAAGCCAACCAGAAGGAAGACGAATATGATGAGGTGGTTGATGGCGTGGACGACACGGATAAGTTGGCATTTGACCATAAGGGCAAGTCTGTCCCTTGCGATCATGATCAGCGTGGGTCGAATCTCGAAGCTAAACCACTCGCAGTGAAAGGTAGCCCCAAGTGTAAAAGCAAAAGAAGGTTGATCTACGAGTTAACGAGGAATTTCATAGCCAAAAAAATATCTAGAGAATGAGGAAGAAAGAAAATCAGTAAGGCAATTACTCTCAGATCTGTAGTGGCAGCCAGGGACAGAACCAGGAATTTCTCTATGGGAGGCCAAGACATATAATAGAAAATAAGGAAAAATATAGTGGTAGTTCTTACATTTTATCCTTGTGTTATTTTGGTCATTCCACTTTCAATTACCTAAATTTTAATCTTTAATTTTTTATTTTGTGTTAAT